TTATAGATAGTTGAATCTTAGCATATAGCCGTCCATTGAAATTCAAGCACTGAGAAGGGGCGAAATTGAAATTATGTCCTTAGGACATTGCCAATATGCAAGGCTATATTATTTTATATATAGTTTAATTTGGTCATTTACTGTGAGTTTGCTGCATAATTATTAGTCTTGAATTAGTATAAATATCTACAGATTTTCGCTAACATTCTCCATCATAAGGAAGGGAGACTGATGTACAAGAGCTTTGATTGCATTGACGTGTGTATTCAAGTTTTGTTTTACTTTTTTGTTTTTAGTATGTAATGTTCTGGACGTTATGCTGGAGGTCGCTGTCATGAATCTTTTTAAGTTTTGTTTGGTTGTTGAAAAAAAATATCTATATACCTATATATATATTTGATACTTACATCTCGTAGCTATCGTTTTATTTTCATTTTTACTCCATAGCTAAGTAGCTTTTTCACTTTTATTTTTGTTCCATACTCAGAATATTGCGTATTCAATTTGTCTGTTATTTTGTATTAACTTTTTTTGGCTTTCTTTTCAGTACCATGTCTAGATTGACAATTTTAATTAGCTATGGAGGGAGCTGGGTTCATTCAACGTACAAAAATGGCAAAACTAAAGGAGTACTTGTTTCAGAGAAAATTACATTAGAGAAACTTCGGAATAAAGTGTACGATATTGTAAATCTCAAGTATTCGTTAAATTGAAGGAAACACAAGGTGTCAAATACTTTGGAGTTTGGGGGATTGGTTCTGTATACAATCTAAGCTTGGATTCAGAAGACCAATCTAGCTCTGGCAATGTTTTTGTCATTAAGGGGCCCGCGTAACGAACTTAATGTTCTTGTTGCTGGCTGGATGGTAATGTTTGATTTCTAAAACATCCTAAATTTCGTCCCGGGTTTTTTCTTCCATCCATTAACATGTCATGTTGTCATAGGTTTCACCATCAATAAATAGCGATCAACTGCCCCGGTTGTATACGTATTGGACTGTAAGTTATTGATATTGTAGTTACTAATTATTCCTTGTTATCAGATATCTTATGTAAAGAATAATATTGAAAAGATGTTTTTGTATTCACTGAATGATTAATACAATGAGCAGTACAAAGTTTATATACAGATTTGATGATGCTAACTAGAGTAAGTGGACATGCAATTGAATACAAAATCAATTAGAGTTAATATACAAAGTCAACATAAAGATAAATTAGGAAGGGAAGCCTTTGATTGATTTTGAGGCATTGACGATGAAGCTACTGGAAGAGCCTTATTTGGCAGTGGCAAGATTGCTGGAGATAAGGCATTAATTTGCATTGACTGTGGTGATTCCTTTATAAGCCCCCGCAAGATGGTGGCGCCGTCAGCAACACCAATCTTGGACCAGAGAAGTTGAAAACGGTGGCGAGACAGAGGCATTGTGAGAGCATCGACGAGTTGATCAGTGGTGGAAACATGAGATACTTGAAGGAGCCCACGAGTGACCAAATCACGAACAAATTGAAAATCAATGTCAATGTGTTTCATGCGAGAGTGGAGAATAGGATTGGCATAGTAGAAGGTGGCACCAATATTGTCACAAGAAATGGCAGGCGTGGAGGAGGGCATAACACCAAGTTCACGAAGCAAGGATTTGATCCAAGCAAGTTCAGCGGCGATGCAAGCAATGGCACGATACTCAGCTTCAGTGGATGAGCGAGCAATGGCTCGTTGTTTGCGGGAGCTCCAGGAAATGAGATTACTGCCAAGATAGACAACATATGCGGTGGTGGATGTTCGGTCATCACGGTTGCCGGCCCAATCTGCGTCGAAAAAAGCAGACAAGGTAGTCGTGCGAGAGCGTTTGAGAAGAAGACCATGGTAGATGGTGCCTTTGAGGTAACGAATGAGACGCTTCAAAGCTTGCCAATGAATGTCAGATGGTTGATGCATGAATTGAGATAGATTGTTGACAGCAAATGAGATGTCAGGGCGAGTGAGACTGAGATATTGAAGACCACCAACTAGTTGGCGATACTTAGTGGCATCAATGAGAGGAGAACCATCATGAAGCACGAGAGAATCGAATATGGCCATGGGTGTACTGACTTCCTTGGCACCATCCATGTGGGCCTTGCTCAAAAGATCACAGATATATTTGTGTTTAGACAAAAAGAGACCAGTGGTAGTAGGCACAACTTCAACACCGAGAAAATAATTAAGGGATCCAAGATCCTTGACAGAGAACCTTCTAGCAAGAGCATGAACAAACTGAGAAACCTGGGAGGCATTATTTCCTGTGACAACAAGGTCGTCAACATATACAAGAAAATAAATAACAACGCCTTCACGGTGGTAAATAAAAAGAGAAGCATCAGAGAGAGCATTTAGGAACCCATTAGAAATCAAGAACGAGCTCAACTCTTTGTACCAAGCACGTGGTGCTTGTTTGAGGCCGTACAAAGCTTTGTGAAGTTTGCACACATGACTAGGGAAATTGGGATCAACGAAGCCGAGAGGCTGAGACATATACACATCTTCAGTAAGGGATCCATGAAGAAATGCATTATTAACATCCAGTTGTCGTATAGGCTAGCCAGAGGAGAGGGCGAGATGCAGGACAACCCGAATGGTAGTGGGTTTCACAACAGGACTGAAAGTGTCAGAGAAATCAATGCCAGGGCGTTGATGAAACCCTTTAGCCACCAAGCGGGCCTTATACCGGTCAATAGTGCCATCAGGATGACGTTTGATGCGGAACACCCATTTGCACCCAATAAGATTGTGATGAGGATTTGGGGGAACAAGGTCCCATGTGCCATTGCGAATTAACGTTGTAAACTCAGCAGACATTGCAGCATGCCAAAGAGGGTCCCGAGTAGCCTGAGAAACACATGTGGGTTCCAAGGATGGGGGAAGGGGATGTTTGGTTACGGCATAGAGATGCTTGGGATTGAAGATGTTATTTTAGAGCGGGTAACCATGGGATGATGATTGGGAGCAGTAATGGGATGTGGTGATGGGGAAGGTGGGTGAGGAGGTGCGGGAGATGTGGGGAGGTGCTGGATGGATGAGGAGGTGGCCGGGGTCGGGTCTAAGGAGGGCAATGGCAGGGTTGGAGAAGGGTAAGAGGTGCCGGAACGTGTGCCTGAAGGGCTGCCAGAAGGTGTGCCTGAAGGGGGGATGGAAGGGGTGCCATAAGGGGAATAAAGGGCTAGAGAGCAGATCTCCTCTGAGGACAAGGATGGCAGGGGTTGAGGGCCCTGTGATGGTGGTGCGTCGATTGGCAGTGAAGGAGGGTGTGGCGTGGTGGCGTGGTGGAGAGGAGCGGAACTTAGAGGGGGGAGAAGGGCCGACCAGATTGAAAGACTCGAAGAGGAGACACGAGAGGCAGTAAGATCCTGAGTAGTGAATGGGAATGTGGATTCATCAAATTGGACATGGCGAGAAACGAAGAGACCGTTGGTAGACAGATCAAGGCATTGATACGCACTTTGTGAGAGGGAATAACCGAGAAAAATACACGGACAAGACCTAGGAAGGAGTTTGTGAGAGTTGTAAGGACGTAACCGAGGATAACACACACAGCCGAAAATACGAAGTTTTTGGTAATTAGGGTTTTGGCCAAAGAGAGCAGTATAAGGGGAAATACTTTGGAGGGTGGGGGTAGGCATGCGATTTATAAGGTAGGCAGCTGTTTGGAATGCATAGGACCAATAGGATAAAGGCATGGAAGCATGATGGAGTAAGGTAAGACCAGTTTCAACAACATGACGATGACGACGTTCTGTCATACCATTATGTTGAGGCGTGTGAGGTGGGTGGTGAGATGGGTAATGCCATGGGTGGCAAGGAAATTTTTTAATTTCACAAATTCACCACCTCCATCAGAGTAAAGGGTGATAATTTTAGTTTTGAAGTAATTCTCAATAAGAACTTTGAATTTTGTGAAAACAGAAAACACATCAGACTTGAATTTAATTGGATATAACCAAATATATTTTGTGGAATGATCAACAAAAATGACATAATATTGAAAACCATCAACAGAAGAGCAGGGTGCGGGACCCCAAACATCACTATAGAGAATGTCAAGGGGACCCCTACTGTTGAGAGATGAAACATGAAATAGGAGCCTATGGATTTTATTACATTGACAGGAGATGCAGGAAGACTTTACGGGGAGGGACGCAGACTGAAGGATTTGTAGAAAGGTACGATGATGAGGATGACGTAAACGTTGATGCCACGCAGAGTGAGGAGTCGCCACACCCACCATAGCCATTGGTCGAACGGAGCGAGGCCACTCATACACATCATCCTTATTCGGGCCTCGGAGAAGAACCGCCCCCGTGTTCAGATCCTCCACAAGAAAGAAATCAGGAAATAGTTCAATAGAAGTGTTATTTTGTTTATTGAATTTAGAGACAGAGATCAAATCTTTGCGAATGGAAGGTACACATAACACATCAGAGAGAGAGAAACGGTGAGACGAAGGAGAAGAAAGATGGGTGGAACCAACATGTGTAATATGTAAACCTTTACCATTACCAATCACAATTTCATCAGGACCTTCATAGGGCAAGTGCTGAGAGAGATGGTTGGGATCGGCTGTCACATGATGGGAGGCGCCGGAGTCAAGGAGCCAAGTAGGAGAAGGTGAAGTGCGGGAGCTAGTGGTGGGATTTGCCACGGGTGGATGATGCTGAGCAAGTTGTACACGAGGGCATCATTTGGCGCTGTGACCTTGTTGATTGCACAATTGACAAAAGCCCCTATAACCAGTACTAGAGAAATGGGGAGAACGTCGAGAGTTAGACGCACCAGAGTAGATGCTGTTAGAGAAGTTGCTGCCAGATGAATTGGCAGCTGCGGAATCACGAGAATAATGAGGACCAAAGTTGTGGCTGGGGCTGGAGTGATTTGGTTGGTTGTTGCGAGGTCCTCAATTGAAAGATCGAGATTGCTAAGCAGTATTTGCTGTGATCACAGGTCCAGAAGGGGCACTTTCTTCTCATTTGAGGGTTGCTTCATACTCTACAAGTTTATCATAAAGAGTCTCGAAGGAAATAGACGAATCACGAGCACAGACAGGAGCTGAAATTTCTTTGAACTCGGGGGCGACGCCATTAAGGATGTGGATGACGAGATCGTCATTAGAGAGAGGGAGATCAATGAGAGCGAGTTCATCAGCTATGGCTTTTACACACTGGAGGTACTCAGAAATAGGTTTGGAGTCGCGGTGCATGAGAGAGAGGCGCTCTTTGAGGCCCATGACTCTGGATCGAGCCTTGCTGGCATAGAGTTGGTTGAGTTTTTCCCAAGCAACCTTGGATGTGGTGGTGGTAGCGATAAGAGAGATGACTTGCTCGGACACGGAAGCGAGAATCGCATGAAGCAATAATTGGTCTTGGCGCACCCAAAGAGTATGGGGCGATGTGGGGGAGACAGTGGCTGGTTTGGGAGGGCAAGGATGAGTGCCATCTAGATAGCCTAGAAGATCATACCCCAAGAGGAGGGCATTGAACTGTGTACACCATGACAGATAGTTTAGAGGCGTGAGTTTGACGGGTAATTGGGCAGCAGCGTTGATTGTAATCAACAAATTGGAGGTGTCAGTGCTGATCACCGAATTGCTGGGAGTGACGGTGGGGCTGGGCTCAGGGGTCTGTGTAGACTCAGTAATCATGGTGGAGGGAAAAAAAAGAATTAGGATCAAGAAGATATACTCGTTGGAGCTTAAAGCTCTGATACCATGTAAAGGATAATATTGGAAAGGATGTTTTTGTATTCACTGAATGAATAATACAATGAGTAGTACAAAGTTTATATACAGATTTGATGATGCTAACTAGAGTAAGTAGATATGTGATTGAATACAAAATCAATTAGAGTTAATACACAAAGTCAACATAAAGATAAATTAGGAAGGGAAGCCTTTGATTGATTCTGAGGAGTTGACGATGAAGCTACTGGAAGAGCCTTATTTGGCAGCGGCAAGATTGCTGGAGATGAGGCATTGATTTGCATTGACTGTGGTGATTCCCTTATAACTTGTAATCTGATATGTAATTAGTCACGCTCATTATATTTAGACTAGGTTGTTCTAGTATCAAGATGGCTTTGTGGCTGTGTTCAGATGTGTGGCAACTTGCAAATGAAACTCTCAAGGTAAATAATTCATTACACGCATTATTTAATCTTAATTATGATATGAGTATTCAACATGTATGACTGGTCATATGAAAACTGCCATCTCATGTATTTTTGTCAGCTGTAGTCTTCATGTCCAAATGATTTTTGTCTTATTATAAAGCCAATGATTAGCTGCTAGCTGGGGGAGTTTTAGGGCAGACTTGTTTTGGTAAAAAGGAGGCAACAACATTTGGTAACCGTCACTTTCCTTAGTAAGGAAGGGAGTTTTTTTAGGGAGCTTGATTTTTGTCTCTGTATTTTTTCTCTCTGTTAGTGAGGTCTGTATTTTTTAGAGAGAAAGCGGTGTTCTTCTTCTCTGCATTTGCAGTTGGGTGAGGTTTGAGTTTTCAAATGAGGTTTCCAAATATTTTTTGAAATATGCTTTTATTTTCAAAATCTACTTCACCCTTTGAGAATTTTTTAGAGAAAATTTTTTACTTAGCATTCTCTAAGGTTTTTCACTATGAGATTTTGAAAATAGTTTTTGAAATCTGCATCTGTGTTCGTGTTGACTAGTCATCTTCTTAAGTTTGGATCAAATTCTTGGTTGATTTTTACCCAACGAATGAGGAAGTTTACTCATTGAATAGTAGATGATTTGTTCGTTGCGTAAATTAAGGCATTCGTGGAGTAAATGAGCCATGAAACCTCTTGTTACCAATCAAACGATGACTTTTACACCATGAATGACACACACTACTACAAAAAGTGAAAAAGACGACCAGAAAAAAACGACGGTAGAACAATAAACCGTCGTTGTGTTTAAAAAGACGACGGTAACAAAAAACCGTCGTGGATAAGTGCCTTAAACAACTAAAAAATGGAGGTACTGTTGAATATTTTTTTAAAACGACGCACACAAATAAAAAAGCGTCGTCTTATTTAAAAGGTTTTCTTCAGAGTTAAAATCTGACCAAAAAACAACAACAGCAGATATGAATCCACTGACGTAGAAAATAAAGACGACAGTTCACCAAAAAACCTGCCATGTTAACTCCTAACTAAACACGACCAACTGTTCTTAGTCTGCGTCATATAATATAATGGAATCCATGTCGGTATACTACGACGATGCCTTCTCTGTAAACTGCCGTCTTAATTTTTATTTCTTTTTAAGATTTAATTATTTTTTAATTTTGGTAGCCTACGAAAATTAAAATGAGATCCCAAGAGGTATGATATCTTACCATTGAGATCTTTGGATCCTGATCATAATCGAACCACCAAAGTGAGAAAGACAATATTTTAAATACACAAAATCCAAAAAGAAACCAGAACTGAACTGACCACGGCAAACTTTGAGAAAGACAATGTTTTGAAAGTTAATGATGTGTGCGTTTTTGTGTCTTTGAGATACACCAAAACGCATACATCATTAACATCCAAATTATTGTCTTTGAGATGTGAGAGAGAGTGATGAGA